TTTGGTGGTGGTACTGGAGACTGAGCCCACGGCATTCATAGTGAGCTGTATTCCTAGCACTTTTTAGATTTTATTTTGAGAAAGGCTCTCACTAAGTCACTAAAGTGTTCAATCTGGGCTCATGTTGCTATTCTCCTGCTTCAGCCTCTCAGAATGCTAGGATAACAGGTGAGCGCCACTGCTCCCAGATATGCGCGTACATTCTTAAGAGTCACTCTGAGCCAAGGGAGGCACTGTAAGTAAGACTTGACTGTGTTTCAATTGGTTATGAAAGAAAAAAAAAGATAGCGCAAACATTTGTAACATCCTTACCAGCCTTGCACTCAATCCCGAACTGACTCATCTCTCCCCAGCCGCTGAGGAATGCACTACCACTGTCCCCACCCCACAGACAGTGTGGCTAAGACCAGGCAGACTGACAATGAACGCTATTGCTGCTTCGTCGTTTTGTTACTGTTAAAGTGGTTTTATTATCAATAATCGTTCAGAAAATGTAAAAAGATCTCATTCAAAATATAAATAAAAATCTAAACTACTCTGAGAATAAACATAAAGAAAACAATGTACAGGAGGAGATAATACCTAAAAACTCAACAACCAAATGAACTGCATAGGGTGGGGAGGCAGATTTAAATTCATGTTCCAGCACCAAAAAAAGTCATTACTCTTCTCCCCAAATACAAGTAAAGATGTTACTTCTCTTCCAAACAATTACAAATTCAATGCAGAGTCAATGAAAATCCCAAGGGATATCTGCCCCATATGTCTTCAAGTAATTGATATTCTTAGTAAATAAAAAGCCCTTACAAGTCAATAAGGAAAAGACAAACACCGTTAGTGATCTGCTGCATACAGTTCACCCCAAACTTTAGCTGCCTGAAACATAACGAACATTACGTGTTATCTTACACGATTCCAAGGGTCAAGAAATTTGCAGGTGCTCACCGAGGTGGGTCTGGCTCCATTCTCCCATGAGGCGGCAGTGAACTGTCGGGCAGGTACCATCACCATCACCTTAAGGCATGGCTGGCTGGCAAGTCGACTGCCTGTTCATCTGCGACGTGAGGTGCTCTTCCCGACCCTCAGTTCTTCTCTGTAGAGTTTCTTGGGCTTTGCAAATATGGCAGCTGTCCTCCCCCGTAGAAAATGATTCCACACAGTGGAAGCCGCAACGTCTTTCATAGGCAGAACTTGGAAGTCACATATTTCCTCTGCCATACTCCGTTCTTGAGAAGTAAACCCACATTCAAGGGGAGGCAATGAGGCTCTACCTTCTGAAAGGCAGAACATCACAGAATGTGCAGGCATATTTTAAAACCGGACAAAATATACAAACAGGGAGATTGAGAAAAGATGAGTAAGCATATAAAAACTTTAAAGTTTGCTAATAATCACAGAGAAGCAAATTAAGCAAACAGATGCCACGAGACTGGAAAGAAAAGAAAGAATGACAACACTTTCCATCGGTGATGGCAGGGAAAACGGGCCCTGCTGTACGTTCTCAGGGAGACCATAAATCGTCACATTCTTTTCAGAGAAATATGCACAGCTGTCGTCATGTGACTGTCTTGGACCTAGTCATTCCACTCCGGGAACTCATCCTAGCAAACAAACGAGCAACAACAGCAGCAACAAGCTAGAAATGTGCTCAAGGGTTTACCCACCCAACAATTTATTGTAGCAATGCTTATAACACAGATGTTACTGTCCATAAAGCCCAACGACGGGCTCCATTAATTTGTGATATATACAAATATAACAATATGCAAATGTAGAAAATTGTAACATACAACACTTGGGCACAATATAATCCTATTTCCTGAAGCAAGGTGCTTCAGGGTGCTGAGTAACCTCACGCAGCGCTGAAGGATCTTGGAAATTTTGTGGGGAGAGTTAGTGGTACTTCCCCATTTTGGATCCTTACGAGCTTCTGTTCAGAGTTAGCTAATGGTTTCCACACTCAATGATTCCACATTATTTTGTATACGAGATAAGCCGCAATTTTTGTGTTCCCCAGTATGCTTTTCTATTTAAAAGAATGGCAGGAAAAAATAACATCAGATGTCAAGACGTGTTTTCTCCTTGGCTGCTATGAAAAAGCCAGATAAGCTAAGCACTTTTTCTCCAATTCTCCCCCTTCGTCCTGCCTCAGCTTCTCAAGACCTTGCAGAAAGTCTGTGTGTGCAGGAGGAGCAAGAAGCTGTTCCTGTGACTACACAGGCTGGAAGGGGCAGGCTGTCCTGAGAACAGCACCCCTGCACTCCCCAAGGAGGCCCCAGATCCTCAAGGAGGCTAGACCAGGGTGCCAGAGCGGCCAGGATTAACAACGGGTCCTCTGAGCAGTGACTGGAAGCCATGCTCACTGGACATCAGGGGCCATGAGGACAGCCTCGGGTTTCCACCTTTCTAGTCCCACCGGATTTGTAAGGTTCCTGGCAAGAAGCAGGGCTCCTGCTGTGTACCCAGTGACTTCCATATCTCCACTGTCTGCTGCTTCTGTGGCCACTGTGCTGGGACAGAGGAGCCTGAGGCTGCACGAACAGGCAACCCTGGGGCTCAGCCCTCTCTCTGCACAAGCAGCACCTCTAAGACTTGTCTCCTGTCCCCACGTGCCCGGATAGGGCAATCTCCATTAAAAGGTGATGGGAGAAGCTCTGCCTCTAGCGTGCCCTAAGATCCAGTTCACACCATGACCTCAGGCAGGCTTGGGCCTTGAAACAACAAAGGCCAACACCTCAGGCAGGGGACTTCCGCTTGCAGCTGCACCATGCAGCGCCACGGAGGCAACAAAGCCCCAAGCCGGTTGCCTGTTACTGTGGGAAAAGATAGAGATTTTTTTAAAAGCCTGGAGAGGAAAGACAAATGAATATCTCAGACTATGATTCAGTCCGCAGGCAATATTTGTTCAGCCATGATGGCTTGATGTGTTAGCAAAGCAGAGGAACAGGGAGCGGTATTTCATCCGCTGACCTTCACATTCAAGTCACACCATAAACCAGAACAGCATGGTGGGCCGCGGGCAGAGGGATGTGGAGAGGTGACCTTCAGGCCCAGCATGGTGGAAGCTCCTTGCACACAGGTGTCGTCCCATTAGAGCTAAGCCATAATTGATCACCGCAACAAATCAATGTGAGTGAGGTCCCTTCCACAGCTCTGAACAAACCGACTTCATAATGAAATATGAGCTTGTGAAGTTTCTCATTTTGTACCATTCTGACATTTCTTGCAATGTGATTAAAATATAATAAGATCAAATAGAAAATAGTATTTGCTCAATCACCTCCAAACCTAACACAGTCAACAGTCCATTTCCATTCCGGAAGAAGTCATTTCCAAGACTCCATAAAGAAGCCTACATTTAAATTTCATGTTCTCTGCTGTTACCGTGAAAAATTACATGTTTTAAGTATAGGACAAATGCAGGGCAGGCCAATTCTTGTTACAATAAATTTTATTCCAACATTCTCAGTAAATAAAATCTCCAAGCCCCAGCCAATGAACGGCTGCTTCAAGGTTCATTCAATAATACATAATTCCATTCCAAATAATCATTTGCTCCATTCCTTTGAAGTCTAATTCAAGCCCCATTTCCCCTTGAGAAAGCCTGGATCCCAGCTCCTATTTCCTTCCTCCATACTCCTCAGCACGTCTACAAGCTTAAACCGTGCCCTGGCCGCTAGGTGTGCGTCCCTTCTCTTTCCAGCTTGACGGGGCAGCTCCTCGAGGCCAAAGGACACACTTCCCTTCTCTAACATCACCCGGCCAGCCTGGGTCCTTGGGGACCCAGCCAGGGTTAGACATGCTGCAGGTAGGTGACAGCCACGTATGGATTCAAAGAGCCCATGACGACAGTGTCTGGCCCACGGCAGGCTGCTTGCCCATGCATCCCCTGCCCTGGGAGCCCACCTCACACCAGGCACCTCCAGTGAAGACATGCTATCCGCGGGGACCTTGACGCCCGCCATCATTTTCACATGGCCAGCCGGCCTCTACTCATTTTCTTACTGTCAGAGACAGGTACGGGAGCCTTTGTGGAAACGTCTGAGGATCTGCAAAACGGAAGCCTGTCTGTTCGGCTGCCCCTGACACGTGAGCTCAGGAACTGTGTGACTGTGAGTACTGGAGTAAACTCTGTGAGTTCCCGATAACTGACGAGGAGACAAGAATACAACTTGGAAAGACAGTGTTTTCTCGGCGTCCTAGAGATTGACAGTCCACACAGCACCTAAAGGACAAACCTAAACCTTGAGATTGGATTCTCCCAGATCCAGACCACCATGAGCCCTAATAAACCGTAGGTTAGATCAGCCTCTGGGCCTATCTGCCCGACAACACAGAGAGGGGCTCACAGAGGTAACCAGTTCAGGTCAGCTGATAGCACGTCGGCCTCTGGACACACAGCGTGAGTCTCCAAGCAGAGCAGGAGCTCCTAAATCATAGCTCCAAAGCTTCATTTCTACTGGATTTTGACTGTAACCCCAGGACTAAGTTAGATCAGTGACTTTGAGTACTGAGAGGATCCTTCAAAACCAATGTTTCAGCCCTGTGCATCTGTTAGAATGCACTCAAAGCAAGAATCAGAAAAACCTATTCAGACTGACTTGACCAAAAAAGGGAACCCACTGAACCAGCTATTCAGAAATTCCAGCTCCATTTCTTATAAACTGCTCTGCTCTGCCGCCCTCCGTGGATCAATTTTGTCAGCTTCCCTTGGCACAAAATGGCTGCCAACAGCAATCGGGACCCCATGCTTCACTTTTCTCATCCGAAGGGAAAGGGAGTGTAGTGTGTCAGGCCACAGGACTGGATCCTTAAGCTTTGTTCTCGCTGAACCATCTCCCTGTCCCTCTAACAAGCAGGGAGTAGGATTTCCCAAGAGACGTGAGAGAGTGTGGGACAAAGTCCCCACAGTGTCCTCCTCCTGTTTCTGAGCAGGTGCTACCAAACCCTCCAAGCTGTGTCCCCTTCCTGACAGTTCTGCCCTCCCCTTTGCAGAAGGCTTCAGGGACCTCAAACACTGTTTGTTGTGCCACTCAGTCTAAGCCAAACCTCAGAAGTCCCAGAAATACCCAGAATCATTCATTTCCCATCTGGGCTTGTGGATCATGAAATCACCAGCCGCTCCATTCACTAATTCCGCTACCAACTGGAGCAGGTACAGTAGCCCTTGCAGGTGCATCTAAGTCAGGGAGAGTCCAGAGGCCCTGTGCACCTCAAGGAAGCCGGTTAAGGCTGTGCCATTGTGAGTATGCTAAGCCAGTCTTGCTCGGCTCTGCCTTTCCACCATCTCGGAGTTCCTGAAGTGGCCCTAACAGACTCTTACTGTTTCAAAAGAGCCTGGTCACCATCTGATGGCACGGATGGAGCCCCAGCTCCTCTTACTCATCTGACACTCATATACTCACAGACCAGCCTCCACGATGGTCCCACAGCTCCTTGGTGCCTCCGCCACGCCTTCCTGGGCTCCGGCCAACCCCATCTGTCCATGCTTCCCCACTTGCTCTCTGGCAGCATCTGCTGGACCAGATGACCACAGGGTGAGACCACACAGACCCACAGCCAGCACGTTCAGCTGATCCCTGCTTCCCCAAGCGCTTTCCACGTTTTCCAGTTTATAAAGCCCCATTCCAACTCCTCACCATCTCCCCACCCAGCCTGGGAAGAAGGAAGGCAGACATTGCTAAGCTTTCCACAGAATACGAGAGAATGAAATTCGGACAGGGAGGCAGGTGACTGGACATATGCCAAGACTCAGAGGCAGACCTCTCACCCTTTCCCACCTGGACGGACTTCCTCATTTAGGGCCTGGCGATACTGGTGGAACAGAAGACTGCGGCAGCAGCCCAGCCCACGCTCTGCTTACCAGAGTGAGAGCCTGAGCACCAGCCAGCCCCAGGCAGCTGCTCCCTGCTCAATAGGGTCGTTTCAGAAGTGCTTTGTGCTACAGTCCCTGCCCGTGGGCAGCCAGGGCCAGCCACAGCGCAAATCCTCCCACGTCTCAGAGGTAACCGCTCAGAGAGCAAGCCTCCGAAAATCCAATTTGTCTTTCCTTTTGCAGTCCTGGCTTTGGTTATTGCTTTGAGACTTCCTCTGCAGCAAGTTGGGTCTTTGACTCTCAGCTTGGGTCTTCGGTGAATACAGACTATTCCTTCCCCCTTCCAGCTCCCAGCCAGCTTTCCTAGGAAGCAAGAGTAGCCCCTTTCCTTTGAGAGGATGCCCAACAGAGAGCTCTGGGATCAGAGCTGCCTGGGCTCATGCCCTAGTGCAACTCCTTTATTCACTTGCCTACTGACCCAATTCAACCCACAGCTACATAGTAGGAACCCACGGCACAACGGGCACTGGTCAAGAAACTGAGGACCGAGCAGAGAACAAGCCAAAGGTCCATCCATCTCATCCCCTAAGACCATCCCCCAGGTGAGCCAAGAACTGTCTTTCAATACCTTTGGAAATACAAAGGACCCTAGGACCTCTCTCCCCAAAAGAATGAACGTAAATGCAAGCACAGAAAACCATGTGCCTTTGCAGAGGGATATCAGGCCCCTGACACCCACAAGTAGAACCCCTGGAGTCTGAGAACACCAGGTTCAGGACCTCTGAGCAGAAATACAGGGTCCTCTTCAGTGGGTGGAGCCCTTGGAGGGTTCCATTCAAATACCACCATGATCTGTCAAATTGCTTCGATGGATCATAACCATATTCGACCCCAATCCTCAGATCTTGACTTTCCTGCATTCCAAAGGCAGATTCTTACAGGTGAGTGTCTTAAGATAAAAGAGGAAGAGAAATCTGCATTCTGGAATGTGAACTCCCCTGTGGGAACTGAGGGTAGAAGATCTACATCAGACTTGCAAATTATCTTTCCCTCACACACACGGGGTAACAATTTTCTCCAGGTGAGCGTGAATATGGCGTGCTTTATGTGGTCCCTATGTTCCCGAAAAGTTATACCTGAATCAAAATCTTGCAAATAAAACCACTTAACATGCACTAAGGGAGCTCACTACTTTATAAAAGCTGGCAACGAATTCTTCCACTAAGCAAGGGAAACTTCAGAAGGTGCAAATTTTTCTCCTTTCCATTAGAGGAGATTTCTGTAGAATTCTGTAAAATGGGTAAATGAGTAATAGCAGGGAGAAAGAATTTAAGGAACTGGGTTTATGATTGTCATATATCTATCCATCCAAGAAGAGTTGATCTTAGAAAATATAATTTTTTATTATCTATTATAAAGCCCAAATTAAGCGTACACAACTAAATCCTGGAGGTAGCAGGACATGGATGAACTAATTCAGCATGAAAGGATCCACCACGATTCACAGAGCAGAACAGGGCTCTGATACTCAAGATCACTGGGTCCAAAACAATACAGGGTTCCAGCAAGCAAGTGGATACCTCATTACATCACTGCCTGTGATCTCTGGCGAATATCAGGCCACAGCAAACCCTGGAGCCAGCAACGGAAGGGACTGGACTCTCCGTGTGAGGTGTGCAGAAGCCATTTTTTCCTCCCAGAAAGGCCTCTGATAGGTTGACAGGAAGAAGTGGATGAACCCAGAGGCAGAGCAGCATGAGGGCATCCAGCAAATGTCACGGGAAAGAGGTACAAAATTAGAGCCTATTTAGGAAGTTAATATGAGGCCAGTTTGCAGAGTAAAAGCAGAGATAAGATGATGCCATTACACAGAAAAGTCAATATGAAGGGGCAGCCATTTCGAAAGGGACAGCCAAACCCCAGCTGAAATTAAAATCGCAGTCAAGTTGAGAGCCAGGTGGACAGAGAACAGCCCTGTCATGGCAGAAAAAGGACAGTGCAGGGGAAAAGTGCCAGCCCAGTAAGACGGTGAGCACTACGAGGAATACATCAAATGCCTGTCAGACACACACCCAGCTTGTGGGGGAAGGTAAGAAAGTAAGTACTCAATGCTGAGTGCAAGAACTCCTGGACTGGGCGGGGACCCGCACAACGCAGCCTACAGGCCTACTTCAACCTACCGTCTGCTGCTCCCTCATTCCTGAGACAGACATCAAATCCAACAAGCAGCAGGGTAATGCGAAGACTCTTAGCAGCTAACAGCGGCTGGGTGTGCCCCCTGGACAGGCCTCCCAGAAGAGGCCAAGACTGGGGAGACTGACAGGAATTCACACCAGGTGGAGGACGCAGCTTGAGCAAAGATGCAAGGATAGGTGGGTGGGACCAGGAGACGGTCAGGGAAAGGCAGAGGCTCTGAGGAGGGCTGATGAGGTCACCAGGGATTTAAACTGGATTCCTGCAGAAGAGGACCCGAAAGGAAGCCTTGAGGCCAGTAACACGTGTGGGAGGTGGTCCCTAAGGAAACACCAGCCTTGAGGTGGCTCCAGAACTTTAGGAACTCTGGGAGCACTTTAAGGTTATCCCTCCCAAGGCACTAAGAGCTGGAGTACTAATATCCAACTCCCATCAGCCTTCATTTACTCAAAGCTGCTCTCAGGGACCAGGGAGGCACCGGAAGTAGCCTATTGTGTGCCCTGGCAGAGTGGGATCTACATATCTACGCCAGGATCCCTCAGGCATACAGACAAGCTACTGGCAGGCAGAGGGAGGGCCTGCAAGACCCAAAGGGCACGAGCAGGGCGTGAGCAGCAGCATCTGCTGCAGGGTCGGTCCTGGCTGTGGGCAGCCCTGAGTGCAGCCATGCTAAGGCGTCTAGGGGTCTAGGGGGATGGGAGACAGCAGGGGTCTAAGCTGGAGGTAGCACGGTCACAACTTAGAGAGCCACTTGACCACAGAACATACAACTCATTGTATGTATGGTTTAGGGACGGTTAGCTGAGAGCTGCATGGAAAGCTTCTGTGACCTTTCAAAGATAGGAGGATGAAGGCCACAGCCAGGCTGCGGTATTAGGGACAGAGAGAAGGGAGAACACACACACAGGGATGCACTGGAGGCTAATGGGCGGTCAGCCGAGCTAAGAAACAGGAGCAGAAAGGGTTGGTCCCAGGAAATGCGCTCAGTGGCAAAGGGCAATGGTGGGAGAGGACTGATTGGAGCAGTGCCTGCCTCCGGGGCAGCCAGAGAGGAGTCTAGAGCTCCAGGGAGAACCTGGGACTCAATCTCAAGCGTATGGATTTCGGGAGCATCTATGAGCTTCCAGGTGAAGACAGTCACAAAACTCCGCGTGCCCCACAAGTGAGTATTCCGCAGAGGGGATGAGCCCTCACTGTCACTGATTCTCAAAGGGCTCTGTGAACTCACAAAGGACAAGAACCGAGTGCTCAAAAATGGCGAAGCAGCCACTCCGGCTCTCGTGCAGCCTCAGCCTGAGGTGGGGGAGCAAGAGGGAAGCCAGAGACCTCTCTGAATACACCGAAATGGGGTTTTCCCCGCACTTCACCGACGACGGTCGGCACCAAACGCTCTGAGCTGCCGTTGCTGCGGGCACATGTTCTGAGAGCTGCGTCTCAGCTTTGTTGTTGCGCCTGCCCCGAGACCACTACCGACCTAACTTATCTGCTATGCAGGGCTGTAGACAGAGCCACTGGGCAGCAGAGAGATGACGCTAGGTCTTCCTGCAGAGAACACAGAGCTGTCTGTTACAGGAAATGCAAGAGAAAATAAAGCTCCAATTTAAAAAGGCTTTGAGAAGGGTCGCACGGCAAAAAGTTAGCTCCACTGTCAGGTACCTTGATGCTCAAGAAAGACAGCCAGGTTTTCCCGCATTTTGTCAGGTGTTCAGGGCTCTCTGAGTCTGTCCTGTGATCAGGAAGACTGTTGCATGGAAAGCTACCTTGCTTTCCAAAAAGGACACATAGCCTTTTGCAAAAAAATCACCCTTTTCCATCCTCTTGCCTTCTGATAGTCTGAGCAGAAGCTTTAGTTTCAGTACAGACTGAATGATACTTATTAAATGGTGCTTAGAAAACCACTCGGGAAGCTAACCACACTGGAGTGGCCCCAGGTACACATCGGAGGTGGGGACCTGAAACCGTCTGGGGACTGCAGGGACAGATACCCACCCCTACTCCTCACCCAGTCCCAGGGGGTCATTCGGTCAGCTGCCTGCAAAGTCATTGCACCTGCACCTAAGGGAGGAGCAGTACCCTGGGCGTGGGAAACGTGCTCAGTGCTGAACAATTCCCAAGACGGTTATGAGGAGAGCAGGGACAGCACTCGCTCTCATTATGGATCTGTGGCTGCTGCAGATCGCTGTGATTGTAGTCTCCAAAGCACAGGCTATTTGGAACCATATAACGATCCCGATGTTTCTGCCACCTTTGACATGCTGGATTCTTGACCTCCCGAAAGCTCCATTGTGTAAGCCTTGATCATCCCTGCCTGGCTCTTTCAAAGCCACGGTGGCCCACAGCTCACCAGGATGATGGAGAGCAGAGGAGCCCTTGCTGTGTCCAACGCAAATCACCATCCGCACACCGGAAGGGCTAGGGACCAGGAAGCGGTCGTATCCACAAGGGAGGACTGCCATTCTTTAAAACAAGTTACAGAAAACGATTCTTTAGAAGTTGCAGATCCCCT